ACACACACACACACACACACACACACACACACACACACACACATATAGGCATATTTTAGCTAATTTTATCCTGTTACTCTTTATTCTCTTCTTTTACTTTTAATGTGTGTTTGCACTACAGTGGGAGTGGCTCTAATCTCGTTATGCACATAAAATACAATGGTAATAAAGGCATTCTATTCTAATCTATTCTGTTTTTAGGTAAACATATTAAATTGTCTTTTTATTTTAGTAGCCTTTTGGCTGATTAAACCAGAACTGATTTATTTATTTTTTTTCTGTTTTGACAGATGGGGTTATTCAGAAAACTTACAACCCTGAAAGCCACCCAAAGAATTATGTATATTCGCACAATTCGTAATACATGTACAAATATATGATACCCCTCACATTAAACCAAGGATCAAGTCCCAGAGAGGTACCGTATGTGGAGAAATTAATAGCTATAGTGTTTAGCTCAAAACGTTTGCCATAATTGCATTTTGTCAAAAAATAATGAATAATTGCCTTAACAATGTACAATTTGAATGAACTGCATGAAATTGGGTGATCCCGAACCAGCCAGCAGTTAACCATCGGATTCAGGAACCACTCCCCTTTMCGTGTCGTCCAGAATCTGACCCTGTGACCAAAAATTGGAAGACACACAGACTCCATTGCGGAGGGAGATAAATCGCAAACTGGATGTGATTCTGACAAGGATTGCAGCCCAGGAGCAAGTCTCTGGCATAGGATCATATCTGGGCGAAGCTCCAGATGGTGAGAGGCGAGGTGGACCCTGAATTTGGTTTATTGGAATTTTTCACCACTTTCACAAATGCAGTAATGACACTAACAGCAGCCGGAATGTTATGATTTACTTGGTAGGTAGAACCCCAGAATGCAAGACCGAGTGAGTTCAGCAAAAAATATTTATTAAATGAAAACAAGACGCTGACGTGGCAGCAAACTAAATACATAAACTTGACTTAGGCTTGAGACTAGACCTTGAGCATCAAACAGAAAACAAGGATCTGACAAACAATGAAGACACTGAACAGAATAAAAAGGGAAACTAATGAGTAGAAACAAGAAACACCTAGGGTAGAAACATCAGGATCAGGTGTGAGTGGGCGGGGCTTGAGCAATGGCTGACAAGAGGAAGAAAGCAGAGGACAAGACAGAAAACTAGAATAACTCAGAAACGCAGACACAGATCATAACACGGAAATTCTATTGTGTTTATCTATTGGCTCTCAGTGGCATGGCCTCGACTGCCATGCTTATCTGAAACTCCCCAAGGATGAAATGTCAACAAGGGCTTGATTCCCTCCCACCCCCATCACCCATGTTGGACCTGGCATGTGAACCCAAGGCCGAGGAGGAGGCGACTCTGAACTCTGGCGAGCCGAGCAAGAGACGAAAACATCATGGGACTCTGGACTCTGGTGGAGGCTAGGGTCAGGTCGTAGCATGGACACCCACCCTCAACGTCACCAACTCCACTG